AAACATTTTTTCACTCAACTTCACCCGAGGCACTGGGGCACTAATTAAGCGAGGCGTAGATACTAGAATAAAAATAGTTCCAGATAATTTCTTTCAGTGAACATATTTGCTCGAAATAGCTGCTCATAAAACATTCACGAAGCGATGAATGGAAATTTAAATTCAACGCACCCTTAATTAATTATGCATGAATATAAACGACATAGTAATAACAACAGTAACGCAGTGGCGATGATAGAGATAACAAGAACAAGAATAACAATGATAATGATAATAATAATATTAAAAATTTAATAACAGTAGTTCAAATTATGATCAATGATAAATTGAAATGGACCTCAACAAATAACTGCGACTCCGATACACGTAGACATTTTTAATCAACTATTTTCAGTTGATAAATAAATATACAGTAGGTATCGTCTTTATAGATGTATATATCGTACACATGCACTTTCGAGGATGCAAAATAACAAAATCGAATCATTCGCGGTGGGCTGACAATATTTTTCATGTGTGAATTTTCTACGTCCCTGGATTCGCGTATGCAGCCGTTCCTGTCAGCTTCAATTTATATACTCCCGAGTGCTTTTTTTCACTCGCTTTTATCGTATACACATATACACGCAATTTTTGTTGTTGCACATTTACACATTGGCTGTGGGAACGTCCCTCTTTTACGGACGCTCTCTACAATGCAAAATAACCGATATGTTCATTGATTACAACCATAGAATGTGAACCCGCTTTTAAATTCACGTGAATGTTCAAAATCATTCGAACGTGTTATCGTTGGGTTATCGGTTGAAGTTTTTTTTTGTTCGAGCTTTAAATTTTTGTAGAAGCTTTTACATATTCACAGTACGAGCGTATGTTTACGGAGAAATACAAAAGACATGATAATAATGTTTATCTAAGGGGTAAAATAGATCATACGGTTGCAATTCAAGATGGTCGGAGCAGGGAACACATACATTTTCGTAATTTTAATCAAAATTTTAATGAAAATAATAACGTAGTAGGAATATTCAGTATTCACTGATTGATTTTACTTCGGTTCGAAAAAAATTTTGAGTAGTGTATTTGATACTTATAATATGAGAACTTTATTTTTCGTTACAAATGCATTGTCAACATTTTTTAAGACCGAGTATAGCAAGAAGTAGGTAGAAAATACATGACGAAGCGGCTTTGGTTGCGAACAAACGAAAAAACTTTGTATACATGCTTGGGCTTCATGAAAAATCAAAAAGCGCCCAAATGGTATTGCATGCTCACTCGTCCCTCGCTTCCTCCCTCACTCTCTACTTTTGGTGTGTGTGCATCGATATTGCGCGCGACAGCAGTTGAATTCTGAAATACGGCGTGCAGCGAATTGCACAAATCTCTCGACGATTTATAGACTTTGGTTATGGAGAAAAAAGTATACGCAGCAGAATTCAAATTCAACCGAAGCACGACGAAAAAAAAAAATACTGCTCTCGCTATCTGCTACTCCCGGAGGCTACTCTGTTTTTGCACCAAGGCATGTAATCGAGATGATAGGAAACGACCAAAAAAAATTTTTATTTTAAAAATTACCTAATAATTTAAATTTATCATTTAAAGTTTTTATTTGTACTTCACAATCGAATTTTTACATTTTATTGATGATCAAATTAAAGTAGCAAATTTTCTATTGACACGCATATATAGCGAGCGTCAAATTGCTACATAGAAAAAAGAAATGAGATTTTTTGCAAGCATCATGTCGCTCTGTTTTTTTCGTAGCAGCCCTTTTTATTTTTTTGTTTTATTTTCTCTTCTCTTCAACAAGAACTGGGGTTGAGCGTGCCAAGATTCGATTTATGATTCAGGCATGTCCGGTCAGAAAAATGAGGAAGTGAACCGCAAAGAGAGAGAGAGAGATGGAGAGAGGGAAAGAAGTATGTGTATATGGAAGGAGAGAAAAAGCGCGCGCACATGTCCCGGTAAATATTCAATAAACTCAACCATTATTCTCATCACGTCAAACTCTAGACAAAAATGAAGAATTGCGAAAACGATTGCGCGTCTTATCCGTCAAGCGTGCAAATTTGTTTTATTTTATTTATTTTTTATTCATGCTGAAATTTAAAATTCTATTTTAAATATTGATAAAAACATTCTCGTATTCAAATTTGTTTCATTAAAAACAACGAAAAAGCTCTCGCCTCCTTTCTCTCCATTTAAAATTTCACACTTATCAAAATGTTACTTTATTTTTAAATTAAAAATCTTAATTTTATCTTCTATACTATGCTCTTTCATATCGACTAGGAAAATTAAAGTGGCTATTTGTATTTTTTGAGATATTAAAAACATAACTCTTTAGTCTTATAAATAAACATTTTTCTCTCTTTTTCTTCCATGGTATAATAAAGCAGAATAAACAGCAAATACTACATCCATAAGACTGAAAAAATATCAAGCAAAGAAGTAGATAGAAAAAAGAGAGCGAGCGAGAAAGAGAAAAGAAACATGAGGCGCCGAGACTGTTTATCCCTCTGGATTACAAGTCAAGTCTGGTGCAGCATCCATATTCTGTAATTTGCCGCTTACCTCCCTCTTCCTTTTCTCCAAGGTAGCAGATCTTTTTCTTTCCTGACATATAAATACACCCAGTTTCTTCTCTTTTATTCATTTCTCCCGTGGTTCTTTAAGTCTTCAGATGCGTCTACCGTGCACGTTATATACAATCCCTTTTTTCCCTTTTTTTCTCTCTTCTCTCCTCCTTTCTCTCTTTCTCTCGCGTTTCTTTCAAGCAGAGGAGCGCACACGAGTAAAGTCGCTGTTCTTTTCTTTTTTGCCTCCTTCTTAAATTATTCCGTTAACTTCTTTGCGCTCGAGCCTGACTCGAGCTATCGCAAGTTTCTGCTACTATTTTACCGAAGCGGTAGAAAATTATGAAGAGCTGTGCGATGCCGCGTTTACACGCCCATCTGGCACCTTTCGTTTTTTAAGGGGTAATCGTGTTTCGTACAAATAATCGATTTTGTATAAATATTTTAAAACATACTAAAGAAATATACCAGTGTCAAAACCTTAAACTTGACAAATTTAAAATCCAAACTGTTATTTCTATAGATGTAGCATAATAAAAAACTATTTATAACCTTAAAAAATGTTCCTTCATACATAACATTTTAATAATTGTACAATTTTATTAACAATTTTGTATCAATGGGAATTTCAAGAGGCAGGTAGGTTCAAACACTGGTCTCTTTTATATAAAGTATAAAAAGCTATTAGAACACCTTTGAGAAGAGAGGAGAAAGAAAAGAAAAAAGGATGAAAATGCAAAGTACGCGGTAGATGCCAATTTTGGAAAAGATAACATTTACAATCATTATCTGGCTTCCTCACTTAATAAAAGAGATAAAAACAATAAAAGAGACGCGCGCTTTAAAAGATTCACTTTCTCGTTTGTACGATAAATGAGAGAAGCGATCTCACTGTCTGTTTCTCTCTCTCTCTCTCTCTCTCTCTCTTTGCATTCTCAGGACTATAGTGTACCTTCGAGTGTATATTTAACTTCCTAAAGGAGAGTACGAGATGATATAAAGGATACTGTGAAAAAGAGAAGAAGAAATTATTCGACGATCCGTGAACACGTGGGGTAAATTGTAAATCTAGACTTGGAAAATAGGACAGCATTATTAAGTTCGCTTGTCAGGCTCTGGAATGCCGCTAATTTAAGTGTCTGTCGGTGAAGAAAGGGTGAAAGATAAATTTTCTGAGAGCGTTGAAAGTTTGAATCGATTATTTATACATTTCTAGGTCCTTATTGTTGTAAAAAGAGCAGCTCAAAGTCGCTTGCTACCTTCGACCAGTGCGTATATGTATAGATATACTTTACCACTCGTGCGATGATACGAAAGAGATAGTAGAAGCATAGATAAAGAGAAAAAGTGTTTAACCACCTTTTGTTCGCATTAGCTTTATATTCTCTTATCCGCGCGCTTATCCGTTGGCTATTCTTATATACACTCGGTGTGTAAAGGCCATCGCATAAATTCGAGTCGAATTTTTCACGCGCGCTCTTTATTACCGCACGTACAATTTTAATAAACAAGCTTCCCTCGCGAATAAAACAACCACAAAATTTATAAATGAAACGAAAGTACAACTATTTTTCATCGAAAAAATGCCATTGTCGTGTACGCAGGTATATAACGAATTGAAATCCCGAGCGGAGAGAGAAAGAAGCTCGAGTTCTCGTCATTTACATGTTATTATACCTTGTTTGCATTTATTTCCGAAAGCCCGAAGCGAAACGCGCGAAATCATTCCAGCTTGGGCTATATATACCCAACTGCTATCCGCGAGAGCAAACTTCCACCTACAGACGACGTCGGCTTTTCAATATTGGATTAGCTTCGAGCACTCACCCCTGCCCTCCTCTATATATACTCTCCTGCCTATGCACACCAGTCGTCGGTAGTGAGAAAGGAAAGTTATACGTTGATAGTTGTTACACGTTGCTGGGCTTCGTGAACACGGAATATATATACACACCCCATATACGTATACAGCTCGTGCTTGCGCTTCTCTACGCACAATAAATGTTTATTTTCAAGATTCGAGCGTGCAACTTTCCTTTAACGTCGAGCGAACTTTCAAAATTATTAAATCTAATGAAATTGAATCGGATCGCGCAAATATGTAGCAATTACGCTTTTCAGCTTTTTTGTTGCATCGATTAAAGTTTTCGACTCAGCTCTATGTCGAATCGCAACATTTTATTGTAGCAAACTCAGAGTGGCAAGTATGCGGGGTTAGTGAAAGTGAATTTGCAATTAAAAACTTAACTTATACACTTATGAATATTTTACACGGTCAAACCAATTTTCAAAACGTATAAAGCTCGCGCAAAAAATTTGATTTAATATACGACAAAGAATATCAATTTATTTGTCATATACTCTGTGAAACTTTACTATTTTAAGAAAAAGAAAAGATAAAAATACATAAAAACTCACCTGTTTGTGCATTTCGACGTTGAGACCGTATGACATTTCGTAGTACTGAAATAAATAAATTGTCATGTAAGAAAAGATATTTATTTGTTGAATTTGTGTTTTCTGTTCATGATCATTTGTAATTTATGAATAATGTTCATGCTGAATAAACGGTGAAATAAAAAGTTTCAAATCATGCATGCACTCATATTACAATAATACAAATCAACATCTTGTTAATTTAAAATCTGCAAGTACGATAGAATATATTATGATTGATTTAATTCCACACTCAAATGTCATAATTGGTGCTATATCGATGCGGTTGAATATGAATTTCCTTTAACGTTTAATCGCTGGTATGACGATTTAATTTCAAAAAGGAAGATTATATCGACACTTGATATCTCCGTCTATGAGGCACCAGTAAAACAAAGCAAACAAGAAGAGGAAATTTATCCGATCCTTTTATTTTTCGCAAGTTTGTCAAGTTTCTAATTATCATAAATTGACTAGGTAAATTATAACAGTAAATTGAATTGAAATTCAGCGCTAAAGAGATTCTCATAGACTATAGGTGGAAAAAAGCTCAAGCTCGCGCGTAGATCAGGAAGCTGAATATTGAATTCAGTGGATTTTAATAGCGCGAAGCCGTATAATACATGCGCATCCGAGTCATTGGCCATAAAGCAGCAGCAGCGCGAGTCGAGCGCGGCGTTTACGGTCCGCGCTAGTTGCATGGTGTGGCGCGCGTATATGCCCACCATAAAGTGCGCATTATATATCTATATACGTCTGAGCTTTAACGTTTCGCTCGTTATAAAGCGTGGCGGGGGGTAAAAACCGCAAAATGGCAATGCGCGTGCGCGAATAAGCGAGAACTTGTATGGCAAGCACACGGCAGTGTAATAACGAGAATAATGAGTAAAAAATAGCGACTCTGCGGTTCGTTTTGCGTAATTTGCATTTACACTTAAAAGCGCGCGCTGATTGGACAAATGATTCTTCTTTTACGCTTATCAAAAATGACTTGAAAATTTTTCATAATATTTCATCGTTATTTTTTGTAAAAATACTGCGACTATTTTCTTTAACGCGCAATTATAACTTACCTATTCCAAATTTTTACTTTATTTTGTAAATTCAGTCTAACGTTTTCGAACATTTTTTTTTATTTCACACCAACGAAACATATTTTTACCACTTGTGGATTTATGCTACTCCACTATTGATGGAAACAAAAAAATTATTATAAATCCTGTTATAATACAAAACTTATTTCAAAGTATCAGTCCTAACCAATTTCCACAATACATGCTAAATTTTGTTATAGATCAATATTTACTAAGCAGATCGTTATAAAATAGATCGCGCCTATAATTTGGTCTAAATTTTGGTGAGTCACACAAATCCATTTAATTCATTGAATATTTTATAGGAAATAATTAATACGAAAGATACAGAAAGAATATAAGAAAGTAAATGAGTTTAAATAGGATAATAAATTACAAAAGCGCAAAGTTAAATTATTAGCTATTCAGTCAAGATAGTTGAAGTTGTTTCATGAGATATAATTTTCCTGAAGAATGTGTTATTTGTAGGCTACAAATGAAAGTGCACCCAATTCATTTCAATGCTCGCACGTCTCTCTTTCAGAGGATTATGTGCAAACGAGAAAAAACTTACTCTATCGAGTTGTACCGATACAATTCCAGGACATTCAAAATGAGATTCTTCAGATCCATAAATATGCGATTATTATAGTGATCGCACCTGATCCGTACAAGTTGTCATTGATGTTGACTCTTTCTTGCAGTCAGAATCGCATCGTCGTATCGCTTTATTTAACTTTTTATCGAGTGAGAAAAAAAACCAAGTCTGAAAAAAGTACTCGAGTACGGTAAATGAGCGTATAAAAGTAAGGCATATTGAAGGCGCGAGTTTTAAAAGTTATATCTTGGCTCGACGATGCACCGCAGCTATATAAGCGCAGCGACAACATAGCTGAGAGCTAACAATGTCTTGTCCGTGTTAATTGGCTCTTAATTAATGGACTCCCTCCCGCAGGGAAGGCGCCTTCAAAAACACAGCTTTAAGCGGCTACTGCGCTGTTAGGTACCCCTCGCACGTCGAGTATTTATACATAGCCGCACACGCGCACACATACTCCAACACATACACAGCTGTTTGAGATGCGAGAGCTGAAAATGTGCGAAATACCATGTACGAAGCGTTTGCAGAAAAAGAAAGAGACAGAGAAGGAGGGAGAACTGATGCGAATTACGTACTTTGCTTGTGACGTGCGCGCGCGCTTCTGTTGCATTTGCTGCTAGTTTACGTTTTACTGTTTACGTGTCGAGGCTAATCCCGGTACACGCGAAATCTCTGAATGCCAACGGAATAATATAACGTGCGTGCAACGGGTTATACGTAAGCCGTACAGAGATAACTCGAGTCAAGTACAGTGTACAAAGTCTTCTGAAAATTTGTAAAGGAAAAAAAGGCGAAGAAGCCAAGGATTGTATATAAGAAAAATTTTCGAGGATAAGCACGCAGACTGTGTATACGTATCGAAATGAGAAGAGAGAAATTCTTACGTGTGCAGAATGTGCACACAAGCTCGAAAAACAGCAGCAACATCGGCAGAGGCGAGCGAGCGATCTTCCCTTCTCAATATTATCGGAAAGTTTAAAATTTCAATCTCCGCGATGCCGTGCAGCGGTCGTGCTATAAGCTCGTTCTCGTCGAAGTTCTCCATGGTGGCGAGAGAGAGAGAGCTCGAACCGCAAGAATCGCCCGACCAATCATGCACGTTCTCCCCCAAAAACAACTTCTCTCTCTCATAACAACGAAATATCTCCCGTTCATTATCTAAAACTTCCTTCAAGCTCGATCTCTTCCAAGAGAAATTCCTCGAATGTACGGAGCTCTCCAGCAAGTTCTCTCTCGAAAAAGAAAGAAGCATATATATAGAGAGAGACTTTGCAGCGAGTGGCTCTTTTCAAGAGAGAGAGAGAGAGAGAGAGAAGGAGAGAGAAAGAGAGAAGAGCGACTCCATCGAGCTGCATACCATAAACAGATCGCACAGCTGCAGCGTCTATATATGTATGTATAAAAGTCGATAGAAATCAGCGATCGATATCTCGATAAAATGCTCGGCTGTGCGCTGGCGTGCAAGAGTAATCAGAGCCGCCGAGACTAATGGATCGTACAGGAGAGTGCCCTATGCAAAGTGTGATATATAAGGCTATATATGAGAGTGCGAGCACACAAGCCTATACAGAGACTCGGGGCGCTGTACATGGGTGTCAAATTGTTTATTCCTTCTCTCCTCTCTCTCTATATACTGCGAGAAACTTTGTTATGTATAGCCGTAAGAGCGCCTGCACCGATAGAACGATAGAGTACAACCCTTCTGTATGCCTGACTATTGTGTTGGAAAAGTTCTTCCTCTCGCAACGGCATCCGTTTATAAATAAAACTTCCTAAGATATTAATGAAATTTAAAAACGCCCGCGTAAAAGGTGTTAAAATTTGCTGCAGTTGCTGTCCGCCCTTTCTTCTTTTGTAGAAGCGTTTGCAGTACAAGAAAAATTATGAGAGCAAAAGTTGATAATAATATGAGGGCTCGAGACTTATCGCGATCGAATAGACAAACAGGCGGCAAAATATAACTCGAAACTGCACTGTGTTGCGCAGCCCACGAGCACCTGTATACCCGCATACAAGACGGCGTTCGAGCACGTGTGTAAGCCATGAGTCCCAATGAGCGACTTGTTGCGACTTGTATATTTTGACCCGGATACATATTCTGTGCTTGACTGAGCCCATTCGCAACCGATTCGATCGAGAAAAAGAACTCAAAGTTTTGTTTAATGCAACAGATTTCCGAGGACTGATATCGAAATCAACGGCGATCCAAAAGTTTAAGCAATCTAAATGACTCGATGAACGTGTGACACCTTTACTGTATATGTCACCGACGCCACGAATTCTAACTTATTCAATCTATTCGATCGAGAAAATCATGGGAGCTGCTTTTTTTACTACCCGCGCTCGACTTGGAAAGACATAATGCCCGAATAACGGCTGCTGCCCTTCTCTAGCTCGTAGCCACGGTGCGTCAGCGACGCGCTTTTACCGCTACGTTCAATTTTACGACGACCGGATGTTGAAAACGCACCGCGCGGAATTTTCGTATCGCGCGCGATTTGCGGGAGGTGCTACGTGAAGAATCTCGTAAAACTCGACGAGCTCGACAATTACATCGAGAGAGTCGTAAAAGAGTAATACCATTCTACGCTGTGTGCACTGGGCTACAAAGTCGCGCGCAACCCGACGCTCGCAAGCAACGACTCGACTCCTTTTTTCGTTTTTCGTGGGCAAAAACGGAGTAAAAATGCGTTTTGCCGCTCGAGTTTTGTTGGTTATCCGATAATTCTATTCTGCATACAAAAAAAAGACCTGCGTTGCTTCAAAGAAACGATTGTATAATAATACGCGAGAAGTAAAGCGAGACCCACTGATTAGCGAGAAAATGTAATCGTTGGCATACAAAAATTCCTCGTGGAAACTCGATACAGTTGTTGTGTGTGGCATCGCGTATCCTTTACAAGCATCAAACAAGTGCAAAGCATTTTTACATTTAAATGTATGTGTGTGCATGAAGAATAACCAAATACTTGATCTTCTTCGAACGCGTAGCGTTGAAAGAAAGCTCTATAACACGCAGAGCCAGCTTTAGCTAACCGCCAGGCCGATAAGATAGCGTCATGAAAATTAATATATACAAGATCGTATAAAATCCCAAGAAATTCGAGATATCAAACCCGTGGAGAGAGTTTGGTCAATTCTATGAGAGCTGAGAGTCGAAAAAGTGAAATTGGTGGCGGAAAAACCTGAAAAGGTATATGTCTGTAAACAATTTCGTAGATAAATGAAATTATAACACGTTCCGATGTAAGAGATAACTAGTTACATTTTTTTCTTTTTCATCGTGATGATTAAAATTGACTGCTATACTCTTGATCGGTGAATTTGATTATTTTGATAATTATTTAATAGCCGGAATAATTGCAACATTTTGTTAACTTGAGATAAGCATCAAGATTTACACCGAAACATAAATTACCGGTGTATCTTTTGATCGTCGTATTCAGCAGGTGTCCACAATATTTCAAGGGTATATTTTGTCTGATAAAAGTGACCCTATTCAAAATTGAAATTAATCAAAATATTTGCTTGATATGACGTCCCACGCAATAGCCGTAAACATTAGCTAGGCCGAGATAAGACATAATTATTAATATAGTAGAACTCGATCGCAGGCATGATTCATCAAACTTCCTCTTTAATTCGCAGAATAACCGCAATCAAAATTCAAACAGTAACATACGGAATTAAATCAATAAAATTTTCTATCGTACCTTTAAATTTTATTTTGAAAAAATACTTTAATTATAGATATTTGAAATATAATGGGGGCGCGATATAATAGCGCCATTTGTACATGTAATAAATGTAAGTATGATCGAATACTCAATACGTAGCACATAGAATTATGCAACAAATTAATATTAGTTATTAAATTTTTTTATTTACACGTGAGTAGGTACAAAGGTCATGCAACGATTGAAAAATGAAATGAGAATGATCAGAATGATGAAGTGAGGTGGACTATTATGATGTACTTACCATAACGTAGTGGCGCTGCATTTCGGATTTTTCTTGGGCAAGCTTTTCCAGCTCCAATTTAATACTGTACAAAAATAAGCAAGGTAATGCATGTGTAAAGCTATAAACGATATTCATGTGCGCGTCGTGAAGCATCTCAAGTGTCAAAGGACGATGAAATACATTAATGAGGTAGCATATTATGTAGTTTTTTTAGGCTTTCTCATTGACATATTTCACAGCTTTTATCCGCACGGGAGAGAAGCACGGAAAATGGCTGCGAGCGGAAAATTTCAGTGTCTCGGTTATCGTGTGCTCCAGGCTCTTCGATGATGGACGACAATATATAAACAAAAGGGAACAAAATTGAAATTCTTCGACTAAATCCTGTGCTCTTTGCTATTAATGAATTAATCTTTGACGATAGTCTACGGGTTTATCGTTATTTTGCATTTTTAAGTGAAGGCGAATGTTAGTGAACTTACAAAAACCTCTGCAAATCATCGCAAAATGTATTCGTCGCATAGTTAACGTCGTTTGCTTAAAAGAATTTAAAGAATGTGAACAAGTGCGTGAAAATGACTTTTTTGCTCATAATACTTACGCAACGCTCAAGTCGGCTAATCGAGGATACTCGCGCTAAGTGTGCATACCTCAGCTATACATTCGTGAGGAAATGAAAGTCGTCTCAGTAATTTTCAATGCAAGCGCAAAAAGTATTACTATTATGAGTTTATTGGAAATTTTTTTAGACGAACAAACATTTGAAGAAAATAAAATTCAAAAAAATACTCGTGAACACTAGTAAATATCATTGAGTTTCGAGGAGTGGCGATGGGATAGTGCAAAATTACAATCAAGCTTCAAATAAAACACACAATTAGTGCAGTCGCAGCAAACAATGATTGTATTATAAAAGAATCAAGTGATTATGAATTGTCAATCGTAAGAAGAATTTCATTATTTGAAATGTTTCTAGTTACGATGAATAGTATTTAATTTATGACTTGAATGTTGAAAAATTACAGTTATATTATGTGTTTTTTAATATTATTTAAATTAAACGTCATCTAACAATTAGACACTACGTAATGAAATGATACATTCATTTTTACACTTTTTTATGGATGATTTATGAACGATTTATTCAAGTTGATTCGACGTATTAAACATTGAAAAAACGTGCTTCATAATTTTTCAAGCAGATTACAAAAATATTTACATCGAGAGAAAAATTGTATTAGTTTATATAAACAATTTTCTATTAAGTGCACAATTATTATGATCAATACAAGATATTCAAATAGACTAATAAATGTTAAAAATTAATGAAGTGAAAAATATAAAAGTATGTATGTGTAACAATAAGTGTGAGACTTAAAATTCATTATTATGCTCCTAGGCTGCTGCTTACCATAACGCAATTCCTCTGAATTTCAATTTTCTCACTGACAAGTTTCTCGAACTCCAATTTAAAGCTGTACCGATGCACAATGAAAGGAAAAAAGTATAAATTAATATGTATCACCAATCCTCGAAATTCCATGAAACGTTTTTATAAATACGTGTGGATTTATTTCAAATTTACTTGGCTTAATAAATATTGATTCTAATGAAAAAGTACATTTAAGGGGCACTTTCGTAAAGCAAACCATTATCTTTTGTTTCTGACACTGAATAAATAAAAATTATAATTTTATCTAGCTTTTTGCTTTACACGCGTAGCGAACACTTTTATATATTTGTGATAGGTAAAATACACACCAAACGATCGCTTAGAACATCTGCTGTCAACAATTATAGTTGTAATGCAAACTGTAAAAAAGTATCGCGTTCTATAAGATTACGCAAACTCAACTTAATTTGAATGGACGGGAAAAGTAAAAAAAAATTGTAATCATCGGTATTAAAGTGATATAAATTTTAGGCTTTACATTGAATACGCAAATGAATCAGCATATTATAACATTATAAAGATTCTCATTTTAATTCTCATAAACTTGAAAATCGTAATTTTTTATTGTTTGCGCGAATTAGTCGTGTATCATAGAAACTCTAAAGAAATAGCCGACCAACACTTAAGCTTTAAAATATTAGTCAAGAATACAAATTGCTTGGTTAATGCCAAAAGTAAAATTTATCGGCTTCATGTACTCATTTTCTTTGTACGAAAAATAATAATGATTTTATTACTCGTATATTAATTTACTTTTCTCCGAGATCTATACTTAAATTAACACTTAGCGAATCTCAACAGTAGGGAAACGCACCATTTTCTGTGGCGAGTTTTGCTTTTTTAATAAAACATCTGCACATCGAAACCAATCAAGAGAGCAAATGTCCGAATTAAACCGTGCATTGAATTGAGAGATTTTCGCTCATTTTATTTCGTTGATTGATTCTTCTGTAGTTCTATATATATTGAAAAAGCGAATGACTATCATCAAGCCATAGAGTGTATACGGTTAAAAATTGAAAAACTGATAAATACGAGTTTTGGGCTCAGGGAATCGGTCTCTTTTCAGATATATATTCCGATCGAATGTTCAACGAGTACACAAAAATCAACGAAATACATATAAATGAAAGAACTATTTGGAAACTCTCTTTCTCTCTCGTTCGTTCTTTTTCAAAATATGTACTCTTTCCCTCCCTTTTTTTTCATATCGTACAAACGTTATTTTTTCTGCCGGGAAAATCCCAACCACGCAGATATTTTTCAGATACGCGGGCGATGGCAAAAAATTAACTGCTAGAAAAAAACATACATGTTCGGTCGTTTACACACACGGGTAGAGTCGAAAATATCCATGCATGCGTGCGCGAAGCCTATGCCACTGCCGTCGATTGATACGATAGAGCAAAAAAAAACTCCGTAAACTGAAATTACTCGATGGCACAGCGGGAGAGATGGATTTCGCGGTAACGTGTACAACAACTTGCTAACTGCCCTGCCACGACCAATCTCTGTTTTGCTCTCTCTTTCTCTCTCTCTCTCTCTCTGTGATACCGTAAGCCAGACGAAAAATGTTGGCTTTTTTTACGACCGTGAACACGCGAGTTCGATATTAATTTCTATGTATAGCTCGGCAATTGCATATGTATATAGCTCGGCAACGCTAGCGCTCACACACACATGTTCGATGTATGCACACATATATAAACGATAATTTTACACTCGATGCAGTTCATTTATAGAATTCGCCTGAAATTATGTTATTGGAAAGTAAATTTAGATTTTATAATGCAGCGCAGCGCTCGTGTGTATATGTATGCGCGGAGCTTGTTTCATTAGCCGCAAAAGCTGCTATCTAAATCCAATTCTGCTCTCGTCGGTATAAATCCGATTAATCATTTCCTACGCGCGAAATACACGTACAGATCGCTTGGGAGCTAAAGTCGATAAAATCCACGCGGCGAACGCGCGCGCGCGCAGCACGTATTAAGTAAATTATCCACTACAAATTCAACTGCATCCATCCTTTTATAAATGAGTTTGAGAACGCGACAACTTGACTCTGTCAAGTTTCTCAAATGTATAAATTATATATTACCCAGACGCGGGGCGCGCACGAGCGAGAGAGAGAGAGAGGCTCGTATAAGCCATTATTTAAGTTCGCACGCGGCTCCGAGAGTATAACAGTTTCGCATTGAAACCGGTGAAACTTAGCGCGCGCGCGCGCACACGATGGTGTGGCGTGTAGAGCAAAGAGGGAAAGAGGGAGAGACAGAGAGAGAGAGAGAGAAAACACGCTCGAGTTGGCTTACACGCTCAGCTTGCGGTCGAGTAAATACATAATAAATTAATATTTGCTCGCGCAAGGCTAGTAGACAGGTGTTCGCCATCGTGTATATACATTATATATTACAATTCCCAAGCCCGACGCTAAAGTGCCAGTGAAAGAGACGAAGAGATATTATCACTTTGCCAATTGCTTGTATATACGCGAGGGCGCGCGCGAACATCGATGCTCATTCCTACGCGCCACGGCTCTGTTATATTACATGTATATAAGTACGACTTAATTAATGCCGCACTCGGAGAGCCTCAATGGATTTGTTTATATTTATGAACGTCCGTCATCGAAGCTTATTACAATCTAGTCGCCGAGATCTTTGCCCGACAAGATGACGATGATTATTTGCTCGTCGAAAAAATTACGTCAACATTTCTCGGCAAAGAGAGGAAAGACGGATAAAACACGAGTTTCGTACTTTCGGCGATACAGAGACGACAGAATTTATATCATGTATATAAAGTCACGATAAATGTAGAGAGGAAAGATCGAGAGCAACTTGGTATTATATATGTATGTATAATATCGAAGGGGGAATCATACCTGTGGTACTGTGCTTGGAGGAAATTGAATTCCTCTTTGATTCGATCGCACGACTCGAGGATTGTGAATTTGAACTGCTGGCCGGCCTGCGGTGGACCCTGGAACACAAACAAAGCGCAATCATTAAACAATGTCGGAAGCAAGAGAGCTGCAAAATCAACACTAGGCCGCTGCTTGCATATAACACGCATGCGTATGTGTACCGCACTCACACATCCTGTTCGATGCTTTCTCTGGCCAATAACCTTTTTACCATTCTCGCATTTAAACAATTTCTCGAGTCAAGAAATTCTTCGAGCCTTCTTCTTCTTTTTGTTTTATTGTCTATAGTCTTTGAGGAAGGAAAAAAGGCGAAGAAATTTCTTGGAAATTGACAAATACCGCCAACGAATTTCAACGGTGACACCGAGATAAATCACACGCGGAGTCAATGTTCTCTCTCTTAATTTGCCGTATACATTAATGCGTTATAAGTATAACGTGAAAAAATACACGTTTGGTGTGCAGGATACGCCATTAACATAATCTCGTAGCGATCGATAAATTAATATTTATTAACGTAGCTCGTCGAGAACGAGCCGGTCTCGCCTCCTCCCGAACGAGAGTCAATTTGAAAATAAACCTTTCCTTCGTGAAACGTATTTTATAGGTGTTGGCGTTACGTCGGGCTCCGAGCAACTCGTATTTATAACGTAAACGGCCTATTCGCGGCTAAATATTCATCGACGCAGGTATAATTTGCAAAACAATGCCACACGTCATATATTAGAGACAAAAAAGAAGGCGCAAACTATTGAGCTGAACACAGGTGCAGGCAGCGCGAGATAGATGAAAAAAAAGGCCAAAAGAAAGAAAACAAATTTTATAGACCATAATAATGCGCACGCGCTCTCCTCGCCAGTCGGCTTGGTAATAAATACGAAAAAGCCCGAGCATATAAGGAGCGTTGGAGCATGTAATTTCGCGACCGTTAGCGACTCTGCAGTTCTGCTATGCGCGCTTGTGTATTATAGCGTATACATAATATATAATGCCGAGGTATTAACCTAATTATTACATGTTGCCAGGTAAATGCGCGCTCGCGCGGGGACGAGCCTCGCAGTCGGTCAATACACACGAGCGAGTCGACTGCATATCGTGCTCGCGTGTCTATACTTTCTATTGTTCTTTGTGCAAACCAATTTCTCTCCGCGAGCGCTTACGACGGCTCCGCACGTGTATGCGATATGTATAATATTCTATTACAAGGTTCCTGCTTCTCTCGGCAAGCGGCATGACGCAAGCACGCGAGTACTACGGGCACGAGCGAGTAAAAATGAATTTTAAATTGTTAACTATTTGTTGTATCGGTGTGTATACAATCTACTGCTTCGATACCCCGATTGTATGCGCGTCGGTGATTTTCACGTAGAGCCGATTAATTTCACTTTGTCCGTAACACGTACGCACGTCATCCGGAGCTTGCGAAATGCAAGGCTTTTTTCGTCACTCGGGCCCTGGTGCGTTGCGTGCCTAATCCGTCAAAAAGAAAAATCGTTAACGGCTTATAACTCGCATAAATCGCAAGTGTAAGTATCTTGTAGCATGAGGCTATCTCGGCCGCAAGCCGCACACGAGACAATGCGCCATTTGATTCTGCTCGCGTGACTTTAACGTCGACACGCCACATAACGTGGCTAAAAAAAAAGCAAAAGTATGCCCGTACTTTCGCAGCAAAAAAAGGGAGGAAAGCAGATGCTTGTAAAAAATTCGGAGGGGCCGATAAGCCATCTCTCGAAGGTGCTGCTGCTTTCGATAACGATCGCGTATAGAGGGACGCTCGCAATACAGCAGCCTTTGTCGAACGCCGATTCACGCAACAAGCCAATAAGCGATAGGATTCAATGTCGTTGCGTGTGCAGGCAGTGCATCAATTTTTCATCACTTTTCATTAGGCCGAACGTAAAGTAAGTAAGAGAAAGTCGAACATAAAAAGGAAGGCTTCGCCGATAGACAAGTTCGCTAATCTCGCCTCTTTCTCTCTCTTTGCGCGCAAAAAGGGTTGGCGCGCAAAAGACTGCGGAGCCGTAGTAGAGTCTCTAATCCGGTTTCCGATACATAATACTCTACTCGTTGGCCACGCAAAAGAACTCGGACACGCTGGAACGACGACGACGACGTTGATGTTATTAAGGGTCTTCGGTGCGAAACTACTTCGACGCCTCGCGCGCTAACACGTGTAAAAGCGCGCGGCGGGTTAGCCTATCTCGCCTCTCACGCTCGGCTGGATGTGAGCACTGGACTAGCGGCGCAAGCAGCAGCAGCAGCGGTAGCGATCGACTTGGGAATCGCTGATCCTATTTGTCGTTATATAGCTACACTGCAGTCTGTGTATACACAGCAGAGACTCGGTATATAACACAGAGGTGCGCGCGCTAGTAGCCGGCCGATCCAATTTATTCATTGGCTTTCGCCCCTATAGCAGCCAGCTAGCCCTTTCTCGAGAGCCAACTTTCTTCTTCTCTTTTTTTCGTTCGCCTACACACGGCTACGGCCACGCGCAAATCTTGTTGAACACAGCTACGTACGCCATGTAATACATCGCAGCTCTCTGCCTTATACGCCTGATTAGATGCAACTGAGAGGCTATAACCGGCCTTATTTTCCATTTTTCGCGATCGATATCGTTTCCATGGCAGGTGGCAATATTGTTACAAGTTAATTGGTCGAATGTTTGCGATGCTCGCTGCTCGCGTATTCAAACATTATACATAACTGCTGCAGTCGCGCGTGGTGTCGCTGCCTACTGGTGTGTATGTAGAGGCCGAGAGGGTAGAGAGTCGATGAATAATGAAAAAGACTCGCTCTGCCCGATGGTCAACGCACTGGTAGTCCGGGCCGAGCGCTTTGAAATCGTGAGTCTATATGTGTGCGGGGGATTTTGCATAACAAGCGTCGCGAGCCCGAGCCCCGTGACAGATGAGTGAGTTTTGTGCATCGCGGCAATTTCCAAGCAAACAAAATGCAACACGAGCGGCCAGAACTGCTCTGCTGCGTCGCTGCTCTCTCGCCTCTCCCCGCCGTGTGTGACTAACGAATGACGTTTAATGAGAGAAACGTCGCGCCTCCCTTCAATCAGCATCAATTTTCCTTTCACGCGCGTTTTTCTCTCTCTCTCTCTCCCTCTCGTTGCAGTAACGTAGCAGCGACGCGGACTGTTCGATAATTCGATCAACCTACCAGTGCTTTTATTCGTTTCTCTCTTCACTCTTTTTTAACCCCCTACCTCACTCGTTCTCTTTTAACGTATAACTATGCACGCATTAGCTCGTTTTTATTTTCCCTCGGTTCCTGCTCGACTACATTCCTCTTTTTTCTCTCGTGCTCTCTCTCTCTCTCTCTCTCTCTCTCGTTTTTTCGCGTAAATTTATGTGGTGGACGTCGAGCATAGGTGAAATTTGATGCTGCCTTTTTGTTCTGATTTGTTGAGCGAATTGTGGCTTGAGTTGGAAAATGCATCGGGCATGTTTTATATTGCACCTAAAACTCGAGCGTATACTGAGAGGGAGGGAGACGTACGAGATTGATGGACACATTTGTGATCGGACACGTTTGAAGTTTTGGTCTTTTTTTGATTATTCAATGCACGTAGAGAAAAAAAAGGTAACTGGACAACTCAGCTACCACAGTATATACAGGGCGATTCGGAAACTTTTTTAATTCGATGGAGGAAACAGCGTTAAAAGCGGCCTGTAAAATTAAAACGACTTTTCGGCTGGAATACAAAAATCGCGATCCGTATATAATTGAGCTTTAGCACGTCGAGGGCTTCCAGCGCGTCGAGTACGCTGGCGGAGCTGCTGCTGCTGCGCGGGTATCCAAAGCAGTCGAGAAATAACTAGATTATTTTTTCAAAAGGCATCAATTTAAAAACATTTCGATAAACAAGCGGTAAAATTTCATTCCTCGTCGTCGTCGTCGTCGTCGTAGTCATAGCAACGACCTCGGGGCGGCTGTTTGGGCTCAACTGCACACGTATAAGCGTATACATACACACAGTAGCATTCATGCGCGTATATAGGTATACGAGAGAACTGTGAGGCATCGTGGATGAGGATATACAGAGAGAGAGAGAGAGAATCAAATATAGTCAAAGCGAACTCACTGACGAAACGCAATTGATTTACTCTGCGCGTTTCCCTCTCTCTCTCTGTCTCTCTGTTTCTCTCCCTCTCGCATGACATTTACCACGTTTGCGGCCGTACTCTGCAACACATACCACTCTACAAGGTAAATTCACGTGTGCAACTACGACGACGAGCTACTACTACTACTACTACTACTACTACTACTACTACTACTACTACTACTACTACTACTACTACTACTACTACTACTACTATTGCCATACCACTACTACAACTACTGGCACTGCTCCCGCGCTACTATTACAACTACTGTTTCCATGTGTATCCCGAGCTTGTGGGTGGTTGGCGCTGGCGGTAGAGATGTGCGGTGGGAGAAGGTTAAGCGCGCGCACAAATAAAGGTGGATAACGGGTGGTTAAATCTCGTTCTCTCTGCCTCCCTCTCTTTATTTAAATATATATCTATATATACCTACAGCACTCTTACTCGCACACCCACATGCACACACACACACACACACACGTACACACTCGGGCTCGTACATATATATACCTATAGGTATACGTAATACTCCGACGTAGTTTCCATCTGACCGCAAGAACCACGAAATCGCGGTGGCAGGCGGCATACCCAACCACTGAATGACCATGGATGACCAGCTTTGGTCACACAGACGACGAGGGGCGTGGGTCAGAGAGAGAGAGAAAGTTCAACTACGAGATTCGGTGTACGTGTGCGCGTCGTATATACATGTATGCGTGTGTACTCTCGTATATGTTGCCTATATATAGGATACGTAGGAGCGAGCTTTACTAAAGCAATACAATACGGATAACTGACCTCGAGGACACTCGGCTTTTGAGTTGTTCTGTATTATGGCCCCTTCGCGCTCGTCGACCGTTGCCGACCCTCTTGACATTTCGATCTCTCGCTCTTTCTCCGACTCTCTCTCTCTCTCTATGTGCGCGCGA